TTCACTGCAACATCTAAAATGGTTTGAACTAAGACACTTTGATTATCAACATTTGTAAAATAGTAATGATAATAAAAAGAGAGTGTTCTTTTCACTTGAATCTTCAAGAAAGAAAGTCTCAGGATGGGTGAACCTGTATTTCTGGATTCAAATCAATAAAATGACAGTTCCTGTCCCACGAGGTTCTTAAGGTCAAGGGTTTTGACCTTAGGCTTAGTCGTGACACCAGATTAAGTTCACTACAAAGTCGATCATCGAACTGCGGCCTAGGGTGTCCTGGTGCCAAGAGCACATATGGACACCCTTATACTTGAACAAGGTGTTCGTTATTGACAATCCATGACGAGCACAGAAGTCCAACAACAGAACACCACTCTGGTTCAGATCAGGGGGGCCGTTCCTCCCAACCACACCCCTCCAGGTCTCACTGTCATTGCCCACATGAGCATTGAAGTCCCCCAGCAGAACAAGGGAGTCCCCAGAAGGTGCACTTTCCAGTACCCCCTCCAAGGACTCCAGAAAGGGTGGATAATCTGAACTGCCGTTTGGTGTATAAGCACAAACGACAGTCAGAACCCGTCCCCCCACACGTAGGCGGAGGGAGGCCACCCTCTCATTCACTGGGGTGAACCGCAATACACAGGCACCAAGTTGGGGGGCAATAAGTACGCCCACGCCTGCTCGGCGCCTCTCACCAGGGGCAACTCCAGAGTGGAAGAGTGTCCAGCCCCTCTCAAGGAAACTGGTTCCAGAGCCCGAGCCATGTGTAGAGAGGTGAGTCCGACTGTTTCTAGCCGGAACCTCTCAGCCTCACACACCAGCTCAGGCTCCTTCCCCACCAGTGAGGTGACATTCCACGTCCCAATAGCCAGCTTCTGTAGCCGAGGATCAGACCGCCAGGGTCCCCGCCCTCGGCCACCACCTATCCCACATTGCACCCGACCCCTTTGGCCCCTCCCACAGGTGGTGAGCCCATGGGAAGGCAAACCCCAGTCTCTCATATGAAAAATTCACTTGTTTTGCATACATTGTAAGTTGTGCCATTGCTTGGCTTTGCACACTCATATGCACAATTTTGCTCCCCCAATTTATTATGCAAGTGCCTATAGGTGTAATGATAATTTGGGTGGGGGGGGGACATTCCTCTGCTTTGCTTGTCTGTTTTGTTCATCAGATTTATCTGCTCATTGATGTTACCCAGTAAATGAAGATTTTACTGTATTTGAGCTGCTGGCATCTTCAACACAAGCATGTAGTTGAGGTTGTTGTTATGTTTGTCATGTTTGGAGTTAGATTAATGGTAGGAAAGGTTGAATTTCAGCTGACCATACAAAAACGCAAGGGTGGATGGAGTTTGGAGAATTTTTCATTCTAGAACGGATGTAAACAAATTACTCTTTTGAGGCTCCTTTAAGGAAAAAAAAAAGCCTTCTCAAAACGCCGTTCCTGGGTCCTTGTGTCGTACAGCTTTACACAGTCATGAGATAAACAACTGATCCTGTTCACATTTAGGCGAGATACTGTCTGCAATGGAATGCTAAGAAAAAGAGTTGAGTTTCATTTTCAAATGGAAAAGCATCATCCCTGGAGGGATCCTTTTTCCTCTTCTAATCTTTGATTAGTTTTAGTTGTAGGGTTCAAACAGACACTTGTTTGACAGGAACAAAGACAAATAGGGGGTTAAGTAAGTTACATATTGACTCCTTCATAAGTTAGAAGCCTTTTCTTTGAAGTTATTCAGATGGTGTTAGAGCTGATTGTTGTTTGCACACTGAGATTACGGCCTTAATGTTGTCACACTTATCATGTCAGGGGCTGTATTTCAAATTGAAATAGTTTTTTACTTTTAAGTTGGCCTTCTCTTCAGCTAAGAAACCCACAGTTGTCTTTGTACTGAGAGCTCTTCTTTGCTAAAACAGTGAGGTTTGCTCCATGTGTGTGTCTGTACAGAAATGTGTGTAGGAGAGTGCAAGCTGTTGTCCCATCCCCCATCCCTCCTGGCTGCTGACTGTTGAGAGCTCCTGCTCCAACTCAAAGGCACTCATTCACAGAGGAAGTGGCAGAAAGTGATATTCTGCCACAAATGAAGGGGTTTGATCATGCTTTTTGTGACTACTGCCTCCTGACACGTTGGTGCTCATGTTGTTTTTTGTTTTTCTAAGTCTGGGTGACATTTCTGAACAGTTCTTCTCATCCTAAACATTTCATTGTACTGTTGACCGTTAACCTGCATATGACAAATAAACATAACTTGAACATTTGTTTTGTATTAGGGATGCACGATATTATCAGCATGGTATCGGTATCGTCCGATATTAGCATTTAAGTAAAATATCTGACATCGGCCATTCCATCATAATAACTCACTGATATAAAAGGCGCTGTTTTTGTACGACAACCCAGTGACAAGGATGCCTGCAGCGGCAGCACAACGTGATGACATCACACATGCCTAACTTATCTCACGGCAGAGAGGAATATTTAAAATATCAACGGTGTGGAAGGGTTTTTCTTCTGTTGGTGGTGATGTCGGATTCTGAAGATTTTTGGACTAGGTTGAGCATCGCTACATTGTCCCCAGTTGGAAATGTTTTTCCGACATCATTGAGAAGCTAATAGCCGATAGCACGACTTGTTGGGTGAGTTTTACCACAGACATTTGGACGTCGTGTTAGCTTCGTTAGCATGATTAGTCTTACGGTACAATGGCTAGACAAAAACTTTGAACTTAAAAAGTCTGTCCTTCATGCACAGGAGTGCAGAGGATCCCACACTGCAGCTAGGAACCTGGAACAAACCTCCACAAGTGAGACAGCATCACAGTTGTCGTGGCTGGTTACCACGTCGTGTTCAAGACAGCTGAGACATCGCCCTCGGTATAAAAGATTTATTTGACAAACAGGGGTTACAGATATTCAGAGACAAACAATTACATTATTAAAATATATGCATATATTTGGAGCATTAAAGAACGAACCGTCTCGGTCTGGTCTTCCCCGGAAATGCCCGATGAGCGTGTGTCATTTCCGGCTTTTATAAAAGCTTGAAAGAGCTAGCTCCTCTGATTGGTTTAGCCCTTCAGTTGCCATGGTTACTGGTGTAGCCCGCCCCCTGAAGGACGTTAGTTTAGAAAGTTTATGGCACACTGAAATCGTTTGTTTTAGCTGTTTTTTTAACGTGATTATACCTTAGTGATACCAAATGATTTGAGTTAACGTTGTTTATTTCTAGGAATAATTAATAACTATTAATTATTATCTAACCCATGTTTGCGTGTTCTTACTTGATCCTTTTTATACTTCTGTTTTAGTTTAGTTGCTTTAGTTGGATTTTACTTAGTCAAACTATATTAAGTCTAAATTAAAGAGATGTGTTCTAGCTTTATTTATGTTAATCAGTCTGCTATCTGGCATGATTTGATTGCTTGTAATATATCAAATGTGAACTTGTAAAATTATC